CGGTAAAGCGCCCCGAGGGTCCTCTTTGGTCTCAGACTTCTCGGGGTCTGTCCTCTTTTCTTTTCTCCCCGGTTCGTCGAGGAGGAGCAGCTTCTTGGCGCGGGTTACTGCTGGATCCGCGAGTCCTGGGCTCTGTTGGCCGCCTCCCTTTCTTCGTAATCCATGTACGCCCGGACCTTCTCGAGGAGGGCATCGAATGTTCTAGGTGGCTCGATGCCCACTGCCTTTCTGAATTCTGTACCTGGGAGGAGCCCTCTCTCCAGCAGGTACCTCTTCACGTGGTCTGCGCAGGGGACCTGTATGGCTTCACGATTGAAGCGATTAATAAACTCTCTCAAGGTTTCATCCTATCTCTGGATGATGGCTTCGAGAGCCGCCTCGGTCTTTGGGTGTCGTCGAGACGCAGTGAACGAACTTATGAATTGGTTCTTTAGGTTTCGCCACGAGGTGATTGATCCCGGAGCGAGGCCTTTATACCAATCCATTGCTGCCTTTCTAAGGGTCGTGGGGAACAGCCGGCATTTGATGGGTCCCCCAACATTGTGATAGTGCAGCATAGCCTCGAACCCGTCTATGTGGTTGACCGGGTCCGCGACTCCGTCGTATTCCTTCAGATGTGGAGGCTTCTCCATACCCGGGGGAATGGGCGCCTCCATGATGGCTTGTGACAGAGGACCGTGGGGGTCGTCCTCGTCACTTCGCTCCGGGGACAGGGATGGGGACCTGTAATATTGTCGAGCCCGGCGGTCCTGATCGTGCTGGGCGTCTCTCGAGCGAGGTGCTCGTTGGTTGATTCTTCCATGCCCGTCTTTGGAGTGCCTTCTTTCTTGTCGTGTGGGGGCGTAGCCGCGTCCCCCGACTTCAATGGTGGGTTGCCTCTCCAAAGGGGGCCGTCTCCCCGAGGGTCGGGGTGACGGGCTTCGGGAGGTGTCTCTGTAGTGTCTCCGCGGGGGAGACGGGAGATGTACCTCTGTTACTCGAGGAGGTGGAGTTTGGGGCCTCCTGTGTCTCCTCGCAGGTCTTCGATCGTCTTCTAGTGCCCTCAATCTTTCCCCTTGGACGAAGATGAGGTGATTCATCTGATTGATCGCCGCGAACAGCGTGCGGGTTGTGGCATCTGCCCCGGTGGGGACAGGGACTTCCTGAAATTGGGCAGCTCGATAGTTTGTGGGAGCTGCGTTGTCTTCTTTGAGCGGCGGATGGACTGAAGAGGATGATGCAGTAACTCCATCACGGTGGACTGAGGGCCAGGGGTTGGCGCCCCCGGGGAGTGTGTTATGACCGGGGTTACCGGCGTTGTCGGTGAGTCCATTCTTATATGTGAGGTCGTTGTTGGTGTCGACGACGCGGATGTTTTGTTCATCACGAACTTGGTCAGCCATGACGGTAGGGGGTGATTTGAGCTTTGGTCTTCGAGGTTTTGCAAGACGGGGAAGCTAGTTTCCCACAGACGGCGCCACTGATCTTACCGGATCAGACTTGGACTATCACGACTGGCTCCGAGCGAAAGTTGAACGAGGTGGGGGGGGGGGGGGGGGGTAACTGCAAGGCACTCCAATGCTAAAGTAAGTGACGGTACGAGCAGGCAAAAAGTGTGTGTATTGGTAAGAGAATGAATACCTGACCCTCTGGGAACATAGGGTATTTATAGTCCCCAGCGCGGGGCCAAGGTCCTTTCATTGGGCCGACCAGGACTGGCCCAACAAAGGGACTTCCAGGTTCTACGTGTGTAGTGGGGACCCGCACGTGGTCCCCTTCTTGGTGATGCTCTGCGAGAAGTACGGAGGGACGAGGACGCGTTCTTTCCGGAGTTCAGGTGATGGAGTAACGATCATAGTCTGCCCTACGAGGAGGGTGCTCGAGCTAGATTTCATGCGGTTGAGGACGTCATGTTCGCGGGCAGCGGCAGGCACGGCTACAGCTTCTGGTTGACGTGTTGGCGGGAGTCTTCGGGCGCGCGCTCCTTGAAGAGTTGCTTGGATTGGGCCTTCGTTCTTGCTCTTGGGCCAGGACGGGCCCAGTCCAGAACAAAATGCAATATATACGACACAATCATGAACGTAATGACAACACCATAATTATCAACATCTCAACACAAACATCATCGTTGGCCAAAAGCCTACATCTTAAAAGCTGTCAATCATTAGAGGCATCTAAACATCTTTCATCAACATCATATATCATCATAAATCGTCAAACATCATATATCATCATAAATCATCAAACATCATGTATCATCGCAATTCATCAAACATCGTATATCATCATAATTCACAGCAATTCAGCCACAACAACATTACAACAACAATTCGTCAATCTCACAACATTGGCCATAGGCCTACCACATGATTCACCTATAACTAGTTAATCAACTAAGGCTTACTTCTAAATTACCAAACATCTGCATATTACTATTTTGTATACTGCGTCATTCTCATCATTAATCCTACTGCTACAACCCAAACAACAATCTATAAACATTTCATTCTCCTCATTCTTCACAAAAGTCAACATAACGATCAACACGGGAACTAATCTGATTCCTAACTTGGATACTAGGATTATCCTTCCTATTCTTCATTTTAATCCCTAAGAATGAAGTTCATCGCGTTAGCTATTCCACGCTTCGAACGAAACCTCAAACGGAGTCTGAAAACTCAAGTTACATCATTCTCAAACTGATTCTGCCAAAAACCAGACAACATGGATCAATGCATAACACCTTGGGTCGACGCGTACTGAACTAAACTCGCAACATGAGTCGATGCATCCTCTCTTGTATCGACTCATACTGAGTCTATCACACTGCATGTATTGACACATGCTCCTACGTATCGATTCATCCTGAGTCTAAAAGTCCTCATGTATCGACACATGACTCCTTCGTGTTGACTCATCCTGAGTCTAACATCATTCATGTATCGACACATACCATTTGGGGTCGACACATACTGCTTTCTAAGGATATTTTCTGTGATCTCTCTGTGTTTTCACTACGGGTTTCATACTTTAGGCCCTAAAAACATCTCCTAATCATAGGTAATTCATCGATTATCATTACCCTATAATTCTACATCAAATATGCAGTATTAGGACAACGTTATTCGTCTTTCAATCATCAATTTTCATCATACAACATCATATATAATTCAATAATAAACCAAACAATATTTCACCTCTAACCCCCCATACCAATTATCACAAAGCCTATTATAGAGTCAGAACCCCATCCTTACCTTGGATTGAAGGTCGCTCTATAACTTCCGGTTGAATTTTTGTTCTGCCGTTTTTCCTCTTTTCCAACAGCTTTCACGTTCTTCCTCTCAAACCCTTATTCTTCTACTGCTTCTTCTTCTTTTTATTTCTAACAACAATAAAATAACCTATTAGTCTCCTTATTCCTTAGTGGGCTTAAAACTAATACACCCCTTTTTTACAACTTCTATTCCTTTAAAACAAGCTCACATCAAATAATATCATTCTTCTAATATTATTTCACCACTTAATAAAATAAATAAATCCAACTAATCACCACACATCTTCACAAATATTCTAAACATAAATTAATTAAATAATTAATTAAATTACGGGCGTTACAACTCTCACATATTCTTTTATGACTTCTATTGAAATGTACACAAGCGAAACCTTCAATTGGTGTCAAATAATAATGGTCTGTTTCGACTGAAGTTTGGTAAATAAAGCATAAACTCGAAACATATCGTTTTGAAGATGTGATCGAAGTAGGTTCGACATAGATATTTGAAATAAGGATGAACATTCAAATTTTGGTGCTTATTTGTTCCTTTTGAAAAGAGACGTGTGAAAGTCTGCGAAGGATGAAACGCATGCAAATGAGAATACATCATCATCTGAAAAGAATATTGTTCGTGTTGAAATTAGTTTAAATAGAAGTCTTTAGTTTTAGATTTTTGTGTGTTCAAATATTGTACAAATCACTCAAAATACCAAAGTTGATCGAGAAACAAGTTTTATGAAAATGTACGTATGAAGCACCACGTTTATTTTCAATGTCATTTTGTCTTTATCGATGTCATTTACATTATGTTTAAGTTTCAGTCGAATTTGTTTTGTCTTTCCATCATTTTTATCAATTGTTTCATTGCTTATTTAAAACTTACGTTTACTTTCGAAGAAGATATTTTTTAGAAAACTTAGAACAATAAAAAAGCTAATCACTATCGTTCTAGGATTCAATCTAATCGATTATGCAAGTAACCACAAATATTAGACTTTTGGAAGAGTAGCCGTTGTTTACCAAATTTCACGGTAAACAAATACATGACATCATGTGTGATGTACCTAAAAACTACTGTCAGGACAAAAAATATTATACTCCTAAACCTATTTTACAGTTGATGAAACACGTTAAAAATCCCATCACTTCGGACCCTTTAAATAGACTCTCAGCCATGTATCAAATCATAGCATGGAACTTGCCAAATCGTAGAAAAATATTCTCTTCTCTCACATATTCTTTTATGACTTTTATTGAAATGTACACAAGCGAAACCTTCAATTGTGTCAAATTAAGGATGGAGGAGACATGCTTCACATTTTATATGAGTAGTAAATGATTACTTTAACAAATTATTGCTTATCTTACTTTTAATGCTTGAACTTATATCATGACTTTATTGTCTAGAGAAATTAAGTTGTTGGTAAGTTGTGTGTTACTACTATTATAGTAAACGTCATTACTAAGTTCTGTAATAGAGGTTAATTAGAAGATTGGACGAACATGCCACTTGAAGAAACAATATCTTTTGAAACACAAGATACTCAGAAGATCCTATTTTCCTGAATTCAAACAAAAAGACGGTTCTTGTTGGTATCCCAAAGAAAAAAGTTGATATTCACGTGAACCAACCCTACCTCAAAATATCTATCTATTCAACATACATCTATGAGAGAAAAAAGTTGATATTCACGTGAACCAACCCTACCTCAATCTGTTATTATTATTATGAAAACTGCTTTTATAGATGAAATTTCTTCCTCTCCCCATTATGAATTGCATTCCGGAGAATAATATTAGCATTCTTCTTTGGCACATGCTTCCCATTCATATCCTCCATTACAAACACAACGCAAAACACAACGCACAACCAGTTTCTTCTTTTCCAGCAGCAGGTAACCTTCACACGACATTTCACCATCTCCGTAGAAATAGCAGGCAGCCCCAGCATTAGTGTCTCGTACACCATCACAGTAGTAGTTAATGTTTGTTCAACCGAAACCGGTTTACAACAAGAACGAAACAAGCTTCCAGCACGCTTTCGAGTTGGATCAATCAAGATCCAATTCAACCTGAAATTCTCCTGAAAATAATCCTTCAATCCCTCTTCCTTTTCCTGATATTTAAGGCCAAACAAATAAAATTTAAAATAATTCTCTGGATCGGTGTAAGGATAATTAGCGTTCAAGCTGTGAAAAGTTTTTCCTGTGAGTTGAGATTGAACTGATGTAAAGAAGGGATGTGGCTCTCCCTGGAAATACATATCAATGGCGTAGATGAGATCTTTTGCGGGAGGAAGATCAATACATTGAGACTGATGATGAAGGGAAGGGAATGCATCCGAGAAGAAGGAACGGTAACCACAAGGGAAGGTAGAGATAACGTGAGTAAGGTTCCAATGCCGCAAGTAAGGCCATGTGGTGGTGCAAATGTTCTTCCATAGTTGATGGTTGTTGGAGATCATGTCGCGGAATTCGGAAGAGACCGAGGATAAGACAGTTAAGGTAGTGCCGTCGAGACGTGAAAGGATGTGAGTATGAATAATCTCCGGATGTAACTTATTGAAACTATTCATGGTGATGGGTGAAGGAAGGAAAAAATTGCCGAGGGGACTATTAGGTTTTTATGATCTAGTATCAAGAATTAGGGTTTGTGTTTATAATGAGATGAATTTGGTCGGTTTAGTTTTCCTTTTCCACTTTGTGTGCCGTTAATTTTTCTTTTCTTTTCTTTAAAATCTTTTGAAAATAATAATAAAAATAAAATTCGACTTCACATAAACAATTTCATAGTGATCGAACCCTTTTCTTTTAATTTTGCCATCTTCAACTATCTCTTTTTTTTTTAAATAGGCAATAGGCAATAGAATGAATCATTAAAAGAGCATAAATGTGCTTGCCCTATTACAAAGGTTACTTCAAACTAAGAAAGTTCAAAGGGCTCCAAAAGTAATAGTTCATACACTCTTTGGATTTCAAACCAGTGCCAAAACTAAGAGAAATGTTTTATATTATCAACAACATCTCCTACATTAAACACCTCATTCTTAAAAATGATTGTATTTCCCATTTTTCACAAAGCCTAAACAATTACCAACCACAACACCAACATCTTCTTAGATGAGATTTTGTGTCGAAAGGACTCTCTAAACTATAATAAGTGATCCAACACCATAATTCATATATCACAAACTCATGTATCACTCACAATCTAAGTCATTTCTAACCCAAATTGAGAGACCGACTGTATCACTAAAGAAATAATCTCTCTACCTCCTCAACAACACAGAAGACAACCATGCTCGCTTGTATCGACGATCTCTTAGAGCGACACAAACAACACAGAGGCATTAAGCTCAGATACCTAAGTAGATGTTAACTCTAAATCTATCTTTAGAGTTCATAAACTAACAGATAATCATCCTAGATAAGAGTCTAAGCAGTATATGTCTATAACAACTCAAATCCCTAGCACAGAGAAAAAATCTAAGACAACATTCCATAAAAATTTATAAAGCAAGTTTAATATAACGCCATGGGCGACAAATATATATATATATGTTCGGAGTAGAATACATACAAAACCCAACAAAAGAGAAATACATAGAGAGGAGAAGAGATAAACCCCAAATCTTTTGGTTTATCAGAGCCAGTCGACGAGCAATCCACCCCACATCTTCCATATGCAAGCCTCATTGTTGTTATCTAAGCTAATTCACTATAAAAATGAGGTTGATGGAATTGGGAGGAAAAAAACCACCCCCGAAAATCATAACGAACAAATAAAACAAAATGAAAGATATAACAAAATTCTGATCCGCACACGTCGCCTGACGTTGTAAAAGCGTTGCCCGATGACAGTCCTTATACACTTGGTCCCGAATAAGCCACGTCCTCAATTGAAACAAATATTTATCGTCACCTGGAGACCACAATTCATCGTCGGACGACTCGCCTTATTTTCGCCTGGCGACACAGACGCAACACAAGGCAAAGACTTCATCAAAATTGGTCTTCAAATTTCTCCCGGTGATAGCTTCTTTCGCCCGGAGATCCATTACAGTCCAACAACTTTTGTTGCTTTCTTGCATAACTTCCTCTGGATCCAATCTTCACCTTATTCATTTATTGATCCAAAAATGCATCTTAGAGCTTTATTCCTTTTGCTTCAACAATGCTCAAATACCTACAAAACATATACAAAACTTAATTAAACGATACAATATGTACATAAAACGCAATTACACGTATTTACAATAAAAAGCGGGGTTATTCAACCGAAATTACAAACAAAGAGTCGATAACTTCGACAAAAAGTATATAGAAAATAACTACAGTTTTGCACTTATCAGTCTCATCTTTGCGATTCATCTTCGATTCATTTCAAACCTCTTTACCTTATCCTCAAGACAAAACTTTAAATATGAACCTAGCTCTAACGTTTATACAATATTTGGATCTAAAATCACGTTGCAATATAGATTATGAAGTGAGAATGAGGAGGATTGAAGTAATCGTTACTCACCGACCAGAGTCACTCTGATAATTCTTGACTTCGGAAGCAAAATTAGAACGAAATTCGTCTGAACCGATTCAGGTAGGAGTTTTGTTTTCGATTCTTCCTCTTTTGTGTTCTTCTACATATTTGGTATTTATGAGTTATGTTGTTGTGAAGAAGCAGATGCGGTTGATTATGGCTTTGCAGATAGCTAATATGATGATGGTGATGAATGTTGCACGAGCCAATTTGTTGTGATGAAAATAATGAAGAGGTGTGAATGAGGTGAAGATAATTTTCAGAGAGATTAGATTTCACGCGTAGAGGATTAAGGTCGTTTCTTATGATACTTCTCCTTCTATGAATTTTTCGGTGGTTTTTCTTATGAAGTTTATTTGTGAATCATGATTGTGGAGATATCGTTGGGTTAGTGTTGTTGTATTTATGTGTGTGGTTGGTGTATATCATTGGGTTTTGGGAGTGGTTTTTACATGTGATTTAAGCAAATGTTATGAGAAGTTGGGATTGAGAGTGCGTATGGAGATTGAGGTCTACGGGATTGAAGAGAGATTTCAAGGAAATAAGCTAAGGGAGTATGATGGTTCTATGGGTGATTTTTTGCAGGGACTATTGATGAGTGAATTGAATGGTTGTTGAGAGCAGAGTATTTTGCAGAGTTTTTTCAGGTGATTTCTCTGCCTCTTTTATGAGCCCGTGATTATGTATTTTTATAGCATAATGAGAATGAGGGTAAAAGAGTATTTGTGAGATCGATTTGGATAAGGATTGAAGATAAAATTTGTTGGAGTGTGTTGTACCCCAAAATTTGCCCTCTCATTTTATCAAGATTTTTCCTCACAAGACTTCTTGAACTCAAGACAGGATTAGGGTTTGCTCAGCTCAAGACCTCATCTTGCACTTATGACCTGGAATTAGGGTTTGAGTTTGCACAAGGATTTTTGAACCATCAATGCTTCATGTGACTTTCATACACCATATTGAACCCCTAAGATTGCTCATACCAAGTTTCAAGCCTTGAATCACATTTTTGCCCAGTCAATTGGACAGTTGACCTAAAAATCAATTGTATTGGGGAAAAGTTAACCATGGCCTATTTACAGTCAAACCTCATAATTTTTTATCCACATCAACATTATAGACTCATATGAACCATTTGATCAAGTTTGGACCACAACTCCTCAAGAAATTTGATCAAATCATCAAAAGGGCAAAATGGTCAAAATTAGGGTTTTGACTGAGAAAGGGCAATTTCTGATTTTTAACCTAACCAATGGCCAATTGGGTTCAAGCATGATTTCAAGAACTCAATGGCATCATCTTGACCTAATTACATAGTTCAAAAGATTTCAAATGCATAGGATTGACAGATGAATTTTGCAGTCAACTGATCAAAAGTCAATTGTACACTGAAAAGTCAAACTTTGACTTTTTGTCAAAATCAAGTTCCAAGGGTCATAATTCATCAAGATATGTCAAAATATGAAACTTGTTGGTCAAGAAACCTAAAATTGCAAATTAGGGTTTTAATTTGAAATTTTTCATAACTTGGAATTTTTCTAAGTTATGGAAATTTCTTATTTTTTCCCAACTTTCCACAACTTTTTCACCATGATGCAATTGGATTCAAAGGAAACTTCCAACATGAAAGTTGTAGTTGAAATAACAAGATTAAGTTCTGACCTACCCCAAGTGTTTTGATGATAACTAAATTATATTTAAGATAATTTATGCTCTAATGAATGTGGTTTTGAATGTCTTAGTTAATGTTCTGACAAGAAACATTCTAAAGTGCTAAGCAAAGATTATGAAAAAGTTCTTTGACATAAGAACCTTTTATTAAAACGCATCTGCTGACTCTGGTAAGAACACTCATTTGTTAAATGTATCTTCTAACTTCTAGCAGGCTTCTTGATTCTGAAGATAACTTGAAAGCAAGCATTGTTCAAAGATCTTAGCAAGCAACGCTCTGACCAGAAGTTGAATAAAGCATGTTCTGAGTTAAAGCAAATACTGAAACAACGTCTTAATGAACGTGTCTTGTCAAAGCAAAGGAAACACGTTCTTACATTCTGACGTTTGCTAATTAATACAAAGACGGCTAAAAACACTCAAGTGCCTACAACTAGTTTCTTGGAGAATGGAATTTTGCAAGGATACACGCAAAGCATTTAATGCTCTCCATTTCCTCTGAAGGCAGCAACGGTCTTATTTTTTTCCTACTATAAGTAGAAGGACATTTATTGCAAGCCAACAAGATTGTTCAAACAAGAAACTACGTGAAAAATTCAAAAGCTTACAAACTCATAGTTCTTACATTATTGTGTATTACATTCTAAGAAAAATCACAGTTGTGATATAGCTTGATTAGAAGCAAACTCTATTTCAATTATCTGTAAAGATTATACTTCTGTATTTGTTCCTTGAGAGACCAAGTTTGGTCAGATTTCTCAAGCAGACTAGGACTAGATTTAAGTCTTAGTGGTGTTAGTCACTTGTAAGTTTACTTGTGCATTGTTAGTCACAATAGTTGTTGTGTGATTGTAATCAGTTGATTATAGTGGATTAAGTCCTTGTTGAGAAAGGTGAAATCACCTTGGCGGGTGGACTGGAGTAGTTTGAGTTCAAATGAACCAGGATAAAAATAACTGTGTTATTCCATTACTGTTTTGAGCTTTGTATTGAAAGAACGAAAAGAGTCACTTATTCAACCCCCCCTTCTAAGTGTTTTCTTACCCCTTCAATTGGTATCATAGCTTGACTCTGAGCTCAACACTTAACCGTGTCAGAAAAAGATCCAGAAGAAAACACAATGGCCACTGAACAAAACAATAATCGTTATAACAAACCTCCAGTGTTTGATGGAGAAGATTTTGAGTACTGGAAAGATAGGCTAGAAAGTTTCTTTCTAGGTCATGATAGTGATCTTTGGGATATAGTCTTGGATGGTTACAAACATCCTACAGATTCAGAAGGAAACAAAGTGGATAGAAAAAATATGGATAGACAACAAAAAGCTGATTTTAAAAATCATCACAGAGCTAGAAATATTTTTTTAAA